AAAACGGGAGCAGCTGGCTCTATTTAGTTTTACCCCAAGCTGAGGGTTCTGCTCACACTCTCAGCTAACACCCATGCGACCCTCTTGTCCTCTGCCTCCCACCTTACGAATGGGGAGAGTGAACCAGGGAGATGCGTTGGGTCTCTTGGCAGGCTGGCATCAATTGGCTGTCATGACTCTTCGTCCTGCATTTTCTACAGCAAGCATGCTAATGTGAATGATGCATATTAAATATTGTAAATAAGTGATACCAAAACCAAAGGAGAAGTTGTGGATGTCTGTCATGCCAGCACTCTAGAGATGGAAGCAGGGGATTGTGAGTTCAAAGCCAGCCCAAACTGCATGGCCAAATCTCACCTCAAAAACAAACAAAAACAAAACAAGGGACAAAGAATGTATATAATGCTAGAGCACTTACCTAACACATTTAAGGCCTGAGTTCAATGCCTAGATCTATAGAAGACCAAATTAAAACCAGACAGAAAGGGCGGAGGCGAGGCTCGCCGATAGAGCTCTTGCATGCCATGCACAAAGCCCTAGTTCCATCCCCTCTGCTGCAGAAAGAACCATAAAAGCAGAAACTTCTGGGAAGAGCACAAGATAGAGCTACCCTTCTGAACTGGGTCACGGGAGTGGAAGACGGCCTGTGAACCATGGCTATAATGCCATGGGGGCCTTTACCGTTGTGAGTCTTGCTGAAGCGCCTCAACTTGCATTGTTTTTTTGTTTCATGGTCTGGGGATCAAATCCAAGACTTTATGCTTACAAGGCATGTATTCTACCACCAAGATACCCCCTTGACCCCAAACTTCCTCATGAAGTCATCTGTAGAAACCTGATGTGGCGTGTTGTTAAACGGCAGAGGAATGGATCCAGTGGCTCGTTTCGGGGGGACACCTCCAAGTTGCTGACTGGGGTCTTCTAAGAAAAACATGCAACTCTGTGCTAAATTCTACAACTGGGAATCATTCAATAATGAAACAAAGATAAGGATAAAGTGGGTTTTATGAACAAAAAGTAAACCTCCCTACACAGATAACCTCTTGGCAAAGAAAAAGAGGAAGCAAGCCGCCCACCAGCAACTCCTTGGACAATGGCGCACTCCCAGAGCTGAGGTCAGCATTTGTCTCCCTGGGGGTCAAAGGGAAGGAGCCACTGAGGCTCACCACTGCCTCCTCCAGTCCCAGAGCTGAGGAAAGGGGCTCCATAAATGACATTTCAGATTTTCCCAACACCAAGACTTGGGTCATCCACTGTTCTCTGCTTGATGGCTGTGTCCCCGTGTCAGAACTTGAGAACATTCTACCTTCCTCCCATATGGCTGGTGATTTCCACGGACCCATAGATGTGTGGCCTGGTGTCGCTATGGAGGGAAGAGCTTCTGTGTGGAGAAAGTGGGGGCAGGGCATTCAACACTGTTTAACATTGGGTCATGCTGATCGGCTTCCCTAAGTGGAGGAAGCTTTTGACTCTGTGTGTAAGTTCAGATGCCTGATTGAATACAAGGGCTTTGCCTTCTTCACACAGCATTAACGGAATCTTCACAGGGGCTGTCAAGATGAGATGGCTCCATCAATAAAGCCCTTGCTGCAAAGGCCTGACGCTGGGTCCCCAGTCTTTCTATAAAAAGTCAGGTGTAGCAGGCGGTACCTGTAACCCCAAGTGGCAGGTAGACAAAGACAGGCAGCTCACTGACCAGCCAATCTGGCAGAGTCTATGTGTTCCAAGTTCAATGAGAGAACCTAGCTCAAAAATAAAGTCAAGAGTAATTGAGGGAGACACCCAATGTGAATCTCTGCATCTCTGCACATATGCATGTGCGTGTGCGTGTGTGTACACACACAAAAGAGAGAGAGAGAGAGAGAGAGAGAGAGAGAGAGGCTAAAACAATTCATCAGGAGCGTTCGTTCACCCACTACCTCCCTGCCTTCATGATAACTGTATAATACTAGCAAAACGTACAAGAATGTACACCAGTTTTCACCACTCCATAAAGGAGCCCATCCACAGGTGCTAAGAGTCCCCAGAGCATGTCCCAGGCCAGCTTTATCCCCATTATGCCATGACCAAGGCACACATTCCTGGCCAAAAATGTCAACACCAGGCAACTGTGCAGTGACTAGATCTACAGAAGGTACCCACAAATGGTTATTTGTCATCCAAGGGTGGGGTTAGCCTAAGGGCCACGCAAAGCGACCAGGATGAGGATGGGCAGCTGAGGACAGGAAAGGGAGGAGTCTGCAGGAAGTCTGTCCACCTTACATGTGTGCTCCATGCCTCTGGTCTGCTTCAGCCTCCTTTGCTGCAAAATGAAGTCGACCGGCAGGTGATCCCTGGTGTATTTCACAGACCCACTGCCCTGTCAATCACTTGGCATGGGGAGTGGGCCATGAGTAAAGGTGGCTACTGGGAGAAGGAGGGTGTCTGAGGACAGGCAGCCTGAAAGGTCTCTCCAGAGAGACCCTGAGGGCAGAAAAGGAGGGAGCTCTCAAACCTCTGAGAAGGTAGGACAAAGCCCACATAAAGGGAAATACAGGTGACTTGTAACATCTCTGCCCATATTCTCCCTACATTCTTCTTGTTGGCACATTAGCTATAAATATCACAGACTTCTTGTGATGCTCTTGTACAGGCACAGAATGTACTGTGGCATATTGCCCCTCTCATTACCTGGTCTTGCTGCCTTCCTCTCCTCCATGCTGGTCCTCCTCCTCTTCCTCAATGCTTCCCCTCCTGCTTTCACAGCTTTTTAATACTCCGGGTCCTGCATATGAAAGAAGAAATGCAATGTTGTCTTTCTGAGTCTGTCTTATTTCCTATGATGATCTCCGGTTCTAGCCAGTTCTCTGCAGATGAAAACATTTTGCTTTTCCCTATCACTGAACAAAACTCCACTGAACCTACGTACCATATTTTCTCTGTCCACACCCCTGGGAGTGTATCAACAGAGATAGGCGGGTGTGTCTGCTGTGATTTAAGTTTAGCAGGAGGCTATAGCAAAGCCTGCACTGTCTGAGGTCTTACTGAAAATAAAATAATCAGTGCTGGGGGTGACTGTTCCAATAAACCCAGCCCATGTGATTAACAGCTCCTCCTTTGGTGGGCCCTCCAGCTCTGATTCAAGCCTTGCCCAGCAGATTACCGCTGGCTCCGTGTCCCAGCTGGACAGACATGGTAGTTTGCTAAAATGGCGGAAGGTGAGGCAGGGAAGGAGTTCCCTTTTGCTGCCCCGACCTTCCAGGGGACTCTCAGACCCACTAAGCCTTGTGTGTATGTGTGCATGCATGTGTGGAAGCCACAGGACAACCTTAGAGGTCAGCCCTCAGGCAGTCAACAAGTAGGTCAGTGAGACCCAGGGATCCACAGTCTGGGGCTGCCTCGGAGCCAAGGCTGCAAGTAAATGATACCATGGGTTCTGGGGACCGAGCTCTGGTCCTCATGATGCCACAGTGAGCAGCTGACTGACTGTGGCTCAAGCCCTCCACTGGTCTTGCATTTGGGACCTTGACAGGCCGTCACTAATTGGTTCTCAATAGGCGACTTCTGCTAGCACCTTTGTGTGTACATCTCTGGCAAAGTTGAACAATGGAAGAGGAAAGAGAAGGTCGCCTTCCACACCACAGGCAGTGGGGACAGTGCCTAGGGAGAGTGCCCTGCAGATCCCAAGTGACTTAGGGGTCTTCTGATTTGTATTTCTCCTTGGTGTATTTGGGCTCAGATGGAGAGAAGCCACGCCAAACACCCCCACCGCATGCACTCCTCCCCTGCCGCATGCACTCCTCCCCGGCTGCATGCACTCCTCTCATGCTGCATGCACTCCTCCCCTGCTGCATGCACTCCTCCCCTGCCACATGCACTCCTCCCCTGCTGCATGCACTCCTCCCCTGCCGCATGCACTCCTCCCCTGCTGCATGCACTCCTCCCCTGCCACATACACTCCTCCTCTGCCACATGCACTCCTCCCCTGTCTGGGTGGCCCCTGATTTTCTTCCTTCTACCCTTGGGGCCCTGACT